TATCACACACACACACACAAACACACACACACACACACACACACACACATACATACATACATACATACATAAACAAACACACATACACACACATACACGCACACACAGAGAGAGAGCGTTCTTTGCTTTCGTTATTTCTCACACACAGACACACGTATACGCACACACTCACTCACTCGTACACACACGTATATATATATATATATACGCACACAGAGAGCGTTCCTCTCTTTTGTTGTCTCTCACACACAGACAGACGTATACGCACACACTCACTCACTCGTACACACACACATATATATACCCTAAATTATATTCATACACACTTACATACACTCATACAATATTTACACACTTACATAAACTCATACACGCACATAAAAAAATACATACAACACATAATATTCAAGTTTTCAGCTCATTCTTATATATGTGTATATAGACTCAATATATATGTTCTAAAGACTTCGAAGTGTGCCAGTGTGTTGCGCGCCAAAATTTGAACCTATTTTTAAATGCCACTGGAATCGCGGTGTCACTGATGACTTTAAATAAATATCCAATAGACGAGCGGATTACTACATGTCAGGAAGGGCACTGAGGCCGCGGTGACTGAATCTATATTTGTATCGCCCAATAGAGCATCCTCTAAGTGTATCCAGGCATAATGTGATTATCAAAATCCGGTTGGTCAAAGCAATAGTGAAGAGTCCAACTTGCTTTCAGAGACTGGCAGACTGCACATCGCGCGGCCCAGGGGGGTATAAAAATAGATTTAGATTTATTCTTTATAAAAAAAAACAAATATAAATGTAGCAGTAAATTGCACACAGCAGCCGGAATACTCGATATGTAAAACAGCGACAGCAGCCGGAAAAGTTTATCATAGTTCCGCTGGCCTCCTATTTTTTAATAGAAAATCTGCTATTGCACGGGCGGTTCCAAGAGTCGATTTTTGTTTCTGTTATCCCCTGCCTGTTTTTTTTTGCTGATTTGGCATAATACTCTACTAAAATATTACTACTGAATTTGGTATAGGCCCGAAATTTATGTTAGGGGTTTGGGACTCAACCCCAATTTTCGTTTTTTTATTCTTGGAAAAAAGTATATCTGGTTTGGTATGAACTGGCTTGGAGAAGGGTATAGCGCCTGCCTCCTACCTTTTTTTGGAGAAATATTAGCAGAAACAAAAATCGATTTGGAACCGCCTTATATCAAAATATATTTACTTCGAGGGGGAAATAAATATGGCATTTTCTCTTCACACAATATTTTTACTCTTGCTACTATTTAGCCGGCAAAGTATATGATCATCATCACTATCATGTGGTGTTTTTTTCTGATCTTTTTATTTATATAAAAACAAAACAAAAGGTCTCGCTGGCCCGGGTATTTACCCAAAAGATGTATTAGTATCATATTACATATTTTTAATATTTACACATACAGGCGCCGTCCGCACCGACAAATGGCTGCACAGACAATATTTTTATAAACAAAATATGTTCTGCATTTTGTTTGTTGTTTTTTGTTCAATTTAGAGGGGCTATTTATTTATACTTTTCCAAAACCCCCACGGACCACCCCCGGCCTCACCGCCCCAAAATATTTCAGTGCACTGCTAAAATATTGAATATTATTTATTTTTAAAAAAACGACCATATATGTATTATGTATGAGTCGAAGGCATAAATCGAGAAGGATGTTCACATCCACTCTTACGGCGTTGTAAATATTTACACCTTGTGTTGTTGTATTAAATACTGTATTTATTAGAGAGAGAGAGAGAGAGAGAATAAAAATAGCCTGAACGGACTACATAACGTACTTTTAGGCCGGGGGCAGGGTGTTCACTGTTCTCAGCTCAGACTTCAGACGTCAGCGACCCGAGAATGCAAAGAAACAGAAAGGTCTGACTCTGTACTGACTGCACTCTGCCTGGCTGCCCTCGCAGGCCTCTCAGGTCTCAGCCCTCGCCCCTCATTAGTCTTCACGCTTCAGTCTTCACCGCAATTAAATACTTATTCGCCACTGGTTCAATCTGTATATAAATATCTGTGTACTCAGCGAGTGGAGTCGGTGCTCTACGCTTTGAGATGTCCTTGACTATTTCTATAAAACAAAGAACAATTTTTAATTAAAAAAGTCACCGCCCACCGGAGTCCGGACTACCGGAGTCGACACTCTCGACTACAGGACGACCGTCGTGAGTCGACAACTCGACTCACTAACAGTCTGACACAGTGAAACACTAACAGTTCACCCACAGTCACACACTGTCACTCTCCCCTGCCAATGCTGACTGTCAGTTGATAGTTGACATTGTCACTTGACCATGTCCCACTGCTCACTGTGCTCACTGCTCAGTGCTCACTGCTCACACTTGACACTTTGACTTCAACACTTGCGAGTCGTAAGTTGGATGTTTGGAACACTGGTCTGTCACTCATGACAATGAGCAGGTCGACTCAAATAATGATCCGTCGTCGCGGCCCATTCGGGTTGACTTTAAACTCTTGGCCACTTGCCGGTTCATTTACAAATATTTAAAAAAAAAAATAGCGCAACGAATACTCATTTTTTTCTGTACAAAAATCAGAGTTGGTGCCATTTTTTGGGCGGGCGAAGGGCCGAGTTAGAGTCAGAATTTGTCACATAAGCATTTTTTTTAACGAACATTGCGTGTCTATGATCCGTGTATTGTGCCGTCTATTTTTAGTTTTGACTGGAATGCATCCTGTATTTTGGGAATACTCGTGTTCAAACCAATGATATAAAGGTTGCGCAAGTATTTTCGCCTCAAGTTGCTCCAAGTCTCTATGGAATTATGGAAATCCAGAGATATATCGCGCCTGAGCCCCTTAAGTTTAACACTTTTTTCAGTTAAAAAAATGGGGGGTTTTAAACCTTTTTGGGCTTTGGCCCTCTAAATCTTTATGCCCCTATTTGGTGAGAAATATTGCTGGTGACAGTGGTGAGTTTGAAAAAAAAAATGGTGGCCGGTGCAGTGGTGTCGAAAGTTACTCTGGTGGTACGATTATTTATCAGTTAAAAAAAATTGAAACCCGTGTTTCACAGGCTGTCAGCCAGACAGCCACTCAGCCCCTGTCGACTATCATTCATCGCTGTATACTGTTTTGTTTGAGCCAGAACAAAAAAATATTGTGAAACGTATATAAAATGAATTAAATTGACGATGGTGGATCACAATTTTCATAAACATAAAAAAAATCATAACAAAAAACGGGATGTCGAACCACCAACGATCATGGCAAGACCTACCAAGGCATAGCACTAAACCAATGACACTGCCACTGCCACAGCCAATTTCCCAGCATAAAAGCTATAGTGATGGAAACCAAAGTTGCTCCTCGGGTAGTGCCGATAGTGTATATAGTGATGATGAATTTTCGGTTTGTGGCGCTGAAGACAACATCATTTGCGGAACAAAGAATGATGAAGATACAACGTCTATCATGAAGCTGACGCGGGATATGCAAACCCTCCGATTACGCAAACATCAAAGAAGGCACGCTGTTGTAGATCAGTTAATGAGTAAAACCAGTCCCTCCCCCCAAATAACACCAAGGATGAAACATATGAAGTTTCTACGTAGTATGCAGCAAACTATCCATCACCAACAAAAGTCGGATAGCGAGCAATTCAGGAAGATCACTATCATTGAAGTCAAGTCCAGCGGTAGCATATGAACGTCAAATGGTATTACTTCTAATTTACTTAAACCATGTATTTCTTGTATGATAATCATGATTGGCATCGATATAGAATAGGTATTCCAGCCCGGAAAATCTAGCGGAGAATTAAATTAATACAACAAATATAATTATCAAATACTATGTACTACACATGTAGGTCATCGTTCGTTTCATTCCCTGGTATGATTGGCATAAATGAGGCAGCCTGAGACAAGAGAAATTCGAAGTAATTGGAACAGCGAACATGTATGAAGATTTCCGTCAGTTATAAACACCAAACTATTTTATATATTTATTAACAGGTGGGCATGTCCATATTATTTTTGCATAGTCTGTTGTCATTGTGTCTTGTCTTTAGGCTAGCAATTGTGTGGACTTGTGCACGAATTGTTTTTGGGAGTCTTTGAAATTAACAGTTTTCCGCAGCACCATCGTTGCAATCTAAAATTATGAATAGGTACGCTGATCTTCAAATCAACATTGTTGCAAGCTAAAATTATGAATAGGCACACAAGATGAGGCCATCCGCTAATATACAATACTTCCGAGAAAATGGGAATCACGAGTTTGAACTTTGAACCGAAGGCTAAAACCTAATAAACCCTACAAATCTTGAGTGATGTGATAAAACACATTAAAAATAAACAAATATTTTCTACTTTATATAAATCGATATATCTCTGATGCAAGATATATGAATATCGTGTAGCAAAATGACGGACCTCAATGAAATGCAAAAGTATTTATCAACTGCTGAGACGGTATCGAGAGATGCAGGGAAGGTAAGTACTATACTTTCCACTTCTAAGTATTTGTCACCTATTGTTGTTTTTCTATGGCTAGTGACGCAGCTTATCAAGTTATATATCGGTGTTGTAACGTCTTA